CAATCCACTGTCATGTAAACAATCTGTCCGATCACTTCGTTCTATATGTAAATATGCTGTTCCGTCTGTTCCTTTCATTTGTGAACTATAAGACTAGCACCTTTTTCTCTGGTGAATCATATATACTTCCATTCCATTCCAGAATGCTCTATATGTTATAAAAACCTGACTTCAACCTGATGGTTTTTGATGTTTGTGCAACTTATTCACTCACGAGGGCTTTGAACAGATATAATGTAGTCATTTAACTTGGTGTACTTTTTTTGTTGCTGTGGTTCCTTTGTGTGCTATCCATGATCAAATAGATATTGGAACTCAATTTGCTGATTTCCACTCAGTCCGTGTGGACTTTATTGGCTTGTGTTTAGGGAAGGTGACTGATGGTGTAAAATAAGAAAAAGCTATTGTGAGTAAGATGAGTCTTGCACAGCTTTGTTACACTGCGTAATCACATCCTGTGTTACAGGGTTCAGTAATCGTGTTCTTAGGTCCTGATAAATAACAACATTGACATGTGTTCTTGTTCTATTACTAGCATAAGCACGTAAAAAAATATACAATGCAGGCTATGGCTTGATACATTGTCACGAACGTTGAGAGACGGGTCGGACCAAGGTGCAGCGTGAAAAGCGTACATGTTTATTAACTCAAATAAACATACAACAAAACAAGAAAACAACGTAACGTGAAGTCCAAATGGCTATACACATACCAGCCTAACAGGATCAAGATCCCACAACTAAGGCAGGAAAACTGGCTGCCTAAGTATGATCCCCAATCAGAGACAACGAGCGACAGCTGCCTCTGATTGGGAACCACACCCGGCCAAACATAGAACTACAAAACATAGATTCTCATACCCTGACCAAACTACCCAAATAATAAGTCTCTCCAGGTCAGGGCGTGACAGTACCCCCCAAAGGTGCGTACTCCGGCCGCACCAACCTGACTCATTAGGGGAGGGTCCGGGTGGGCATTCAGCCTCGGAGGCGGATCCGGCTCCGGGCGTGACGACCTCTCCCTCTCTGCCTCCCCGTTGCACCTCTGGTTTAGTCTGGACCTCGGCACGATGCTTCCCCTCTCCTTCCTCCCACGATGCACCAAGCCCTGTCTGGACCCTGGTGTGGGAGACCCCGAACCTGGAGAGGGGCTGACGTCTGGGCCTGGATCGGCAATCCTCCCGCGATGCACCAAGCCCTGTCTGGACCCTGGTGTGGGAGGCCCCGACCCTGGAGAGGGGCTGACTTCTGGGTCTGGAGTGGAGCCGCAGACCGGAGCTGAACTGGACCCCGGTGGAGCGGACTGCTCTGGCTCCGGAGTGGAGCCGCTGACCAGAGCTGGACTGGGCACCGGTGGAGCGGACTGCTCTGGCTCCGGAGTAGAACCATTGACCGGAGCTGGACTAGGCACCGGTGGAGCGGACTGCTCTGGCTCCGGAGTGGAGCCGCTGACCGGAGCTGGACTGGGCACCGGTGGAGCGGACTGCTCTGGCTCCGGAGTAGAACCATTGACCGGAGCTGGACTGGGCACCGGTGGAGCGGACTGCTCTGGCTCCGGAGTGGAGCCGCTGACCGGAGCTGGACTGGCACCGGTGGAGCGGACTGCTCTGGCTCCGGAGTAGAACCATTGACCGGAGCTGGACTGGGCACCGGTGGAGCGGACTGCTCTGGCTCCGGAGTGGAGCCGCTGACCGGAGCTGGACTGGGCACCGGTGGAGCGGACTGCTTTGGCTCCGGAGTGGAACCACTGACCGGAGCTGGACTTGGCACCGGTGGAGCGGACTGCTCTGGCTCCGGAGTGGAGCTGCTGACCGGAGCTGAACTGGACCCTGGAGTGGAACCGCTGACCGGAGCTGAACTGGGAACACGCACCACTGGTCTGGTGCGAGGAGCAGGCACGGGTCGTGCCGGACTGGAGACGCGCAACACTGGTTTGGTGCGAGGAGCAGGCACAGGTCGTGCCGGACTGGATACACGCACCACTGGTTTGGTGCAAGGAGCTGGCACGGGCCGTACCGGACTGGATACGTGCACCACTGGTTTGGTGCGGGGAGCAGGTACGGGGCGTACCGGGCTGGCGACAGGCACCACTGGTTTGGTGCGGGGAGCAGGTACGGGGCATACCGGGCTGGCGACAGGCACCACTGGTTTGGTGCGGGGAGCAGGTACGGGGCGTACCGGACTGTGGAGGCGCGCTGGAGGTCTGGAGCGTAGAGCAGGATATGCTGGACCGAGGAGGCGTACTGGAGACCAGGAGCGTTGAGCCGGCACAACCCGTCCTGGCTGGGGGAGTTGGCTCTGCTCTGAACCCTGACTCCGCCAACCACCCTGTGTGCCCCCCCAATTTTTTTTATTGGGGCTGCTTCTCTGGCTTTCTTCCTGACCGAGCCAATATCTCCTCCCAAGTCCAAAATGACTTCCCCACCTGTGTCCAGAGTGTCTGCTGCTCCTGGGCACGCTGCTTGGTCCGTTTTTGGTGGGATCTTCTGTCACGAACATTGAGAGACGGGTCGGACCAAGGTGCAGCATGAAAAGCGTACATGTTTATTAACTCAAATAAACATGTAACATGAAGTCCAAAGGGCTATACAAATACCAGCCTAACAGGAACAAGATCCCACAACTAAGGCAGGAAAACTGGCTGCCTAAGTATGATCCCCAATCACAGACAACGAGCGACAGTTGCCTCTGATTGGGAACCACACCCAGCCAAACATAGAACTACAAAACATAGATTCTCACACCCTGACCAAACTACCCAAATAATAACAGTCTCTCCAGGTCAGGGCGTGACATACATACATTTTTACTAAAGGACTGTCTAAATTTGCACAATCAGGATTATGAAAAGTGCAATTTATCCGTTCTATAACACCAACATTATTAAAACTCCTTGCAATGTCATGATATCCTGAGAAGCTGTAGTCACCTCTTTCCACATTTAAATTCTGATTCAAGATGGATATTATGGATATCGTCTTGGGTAGTAGAGATTCATGTTCTTTCCATTTCTTTACTTAGTGTTCTGAAGATTGAAAATGTCTTCAAAAAAGGTAAACCTATGTGTTGTCTAACTGGTTACTCATTTTAAATGGACAAGTAAGGCAGTCCAATTTCATATTGTACTGTATGTGTAGAGCCATTGTCATATCATTGTTTAATCATTTTCAGACCGTTAAATCCGCTGGTGTAACACGGATGTCAAGTACTTAAAGAAAGAGAGAATACAATAGAATCTGGACTAAATTGTCAAGGGAGAAAACCACCCTTAAGACAAAAAGGGTAGAGAATGAAGACAATGAAAGTGGATCTAGTCTCATCAGCCAGTCTGACACCAAGAGTGAAGATACCAGTTCTACTGAATCTGAGAGCAAAATTGTGTCAGATAGTGAAGTTGAGGCAGTGGAAGGTACTCCTCCAAGACTTCCAACACATGCTGACGAAGAGTCAGATGGTGAACTTCAGACAGTAGGTGGTACTCCTCCAAGACTGCCATCACACAGTGACTGAAGCCAATGCTGGTTGTGCAATTCAGGAGAAAACTGACTCTGACAATGATGATGTTGAAAATGATTCTACCTTCAGAGAGGACCTGGCAACCTGGATAAGTGATTTCCAAGTGAAACACGATGCTGTTGATGCACTTCTGATGATGTATTCTGGCTACTATGGCTGTGACAGGTGCACACAAAAAGGCAGGTATGATAGGAGGATGATGTACCCGCAGGTAAAAAACCTGTGTCTCAGATCTGACAAATCCTTTAGAGAATTGGTACAGCCAGAACATCACCATGAAGGGAAAACCTCTCCTTTTTGCATCCTCCCCATTGATATAGTGAAGTCATTCCTAATTGACTACATGCACCTTTGTTGCCTCGGAGTGACCCGGAAGCTCTTGATGATGTGGACTAGGGGAAAGACTGTGGCCAGGTTGTCGTTGGTGCAAGTCAAGGAGGTCAGTCAATGACTAAACCAACTAAAGGATTCAATTACAGACTACTTTGCTCGCAAACCACAGAGATTGGATGACCTTGACCGTTGGAAGGCCACAGAATTCAGACAGTTTCTACTCTATACTGGGAAAGTGGTCCTGAGAAGAATCTTGTCTAAAGAACAGTACACACACTTCATTGCCTTCAGTTCAGTGTTGCCATGTGCATTTTGGTTTCTCCTCAACTTTCTTCAATCCACAGTGCCTATGCTTTACTGAACTTCTTTGTGGAGCAGGGAAGGGTTTTGTATGGAGACACATTTCTTGTGTATAATGTTCACTCCCTCCTACACCTCACTGCTGATGCTGAAGAACATGGCTGCGTTGACAACTGTAGTGCTTTCAAGTTTGAGAACTACTTGCAACAACTAAAGAAGATGGTCCATTCAGGGAGGTGGCCACTTGTGCAAATTTCTAAAAGAGTGCAAGAACGCACTGTTAGAGCTTTTCCCCGCCAACAGGTCATCAAAATGAGACGGCCAAACAATGGCTACATACCTAATGTAGTCCCGTGTAGCTAAGTTGGTAGAGCATGGCGTTTGCAACGGCAGGTTGGTGGGTTCGATTCCCACGGGGGGCCAGTATGAAATTTTTTTATGCACTCACTAACTGTAAGTCGCTCTGGATAAGAGCGTCTGCTAAATGACTAAAATGTAAATGTCATGCTGTGAGGTAGTGATTCAAGAAGATGCCTCTGATACTTACCTCTGCAAGGTGTTTCAGCATCTGGAATCTTACACGCTGAGTCCTTGTGACTCAAGACTGTACTGGACTTTCCGCACCACTACGAGGAGCGCACGATTGCATCTCATTGCAAAGAGCAGTCTTGTTAAGCGACCTATTTTACATGAGGAGGACCATGGCACTCGTGTTGTGATAACATCTTGCACAGCCTGTAGCAAGCCCCATTTAGCTACAGCCAAGTTCACAAACTGTATTAGTTTTGCAAACTAGTTTTGCAAATCAAGAGACTGAACAGTGTGGAATTGGTGTTTAGTTTTTCTGCACAGGGCATACAGCGTTATTATGTTGTACATTTTGTAAAAGAGAACACTGTTGAAGTTGTACCAGAGCAGTGGGTGGAGAAGAGAGATGGGGTGAGTTGATCAGATAAATGGTTTACCCTTTTCAGGCAAAAATATGGATAAATAGTTAACTTTAAACATCGTCTCCTATCTTGCAGGTCCTGTGTTGCTACTGGCCAAGAAATGCCAGCGCAACAATGATTAAGAGAGGAGAGTGGCCTGACAAATTATTTTGGGAGAAGTACAGAATTTCCATCTTTTCATCCACTGGTAAAATAATATTTTACTGTATCCATCCACTCCCGTTTATATTGCCATGTATGCTTGGTTGTGTGGCTCTGGAGCAGGTTGCATCAGTTGAACATACTCCTCCTATACGTAAGGCTAGTTTCAATGTAGAATATGTTCTAAGCCAGGTGTAAACCTGTGTCACCACCTGGTTGTAAGTAATAGCTTTTGCTACGCCAGGGTATAAAAACGAAATGTAATGTGGGGTAGACGTATAGTATAAATCTATAACTAGTTTCCAAGGTAAGTGTTTCATGACTAGTCATGTCGCATCTTGTTAAATGTTCTAAATCATTACGTTGGGCGTAGGTAGGCCCAACTTATCTATTACACCTTATTAGCGTCTAACGAGTGCAACTCACTCCTGGTCAGTAGTCAGTAACTTCCCCCTCTTAAGTACTATATGTATTTGCTGAAAGTATTACTATGTGAATTACTAATACTCAATTGACCCTGTTTTGCCAGTGTTAATAGGAAAGTATTTCTGACTATGTTTATTGCACGTACAGACAATTACTCTGTGGCAGAGCAACGAACCAGCGAAGAGGGCGGTGACTAAACCAATCAGATTCCGTGTAGAGCCACCTGGTGAGGATTTCTTAACTACTCTTATTCCATTGTGTGTACTACATGCATCAGGAAGTAGATTAAAATAATGACTCTTTTTTTGTATTGTGCTTTGTAAGATGATGATGGAAGTGAAGCGCTCCAGAAAAAGACAAATGAACCCAGACAAGCCCAGCTTCCAGTGCCCCAGCTTCCACCAGCCCCTAGTGGTAAGATCCTGCATTAGGTTACTAGGTCATTAAATGTATAATCAGCAAGTTGATGGTAAGTTTGACACACATTCAAGTATGTGTGTGAAGAAAAGCTTACAGTTAATGAAAGTACTTGTGTTAAATTGTAGAAACGGCATGAAATCATAACCTAATGACAGTTGATATGACAAGAAATTACCACACCCATCTGAGCTTGACATACTTGATTATTAGTCACATTACCAAAGTGTAACAGTTCTTTATTTTTTTCTATTAGCAACCTCAAGAGCCAGTGTCTTTGAAAAGACACTACAAGGTACATCATGTTTTAAATCTTTAAAGACTGATAAACAAGCTTACTTTCTCAAAGTTCTGTTCCCACCATCTGTATGGGATGGGCAGGAAAATATGTTAAGCGTGTACTGTAAATGTGGTAATGGTTTGACATCTGTGATATTCTCTGAAGTTGCAGATGCAGAGGACTTGAGGCCATGTGCCACCTCAAGCCAGAGCGACAGTAAATGTCTGGTTGTAATTTGTTAGGGAAAACAATTGAATTGTATGAAGTATTATAGCTTTACAAACCTTTCAAAGCCACTCAATAGAATAGAATTACCATCACATTTTTGCATATTAGGTTATTTAAAGTCTTATTACTACTTTGTGCATAATGTTAGAACTTTCCAAATACTTGTGGTGCTGTTAGAACTTTCCAAATACAGTGGCTTACGAAAGTATTCACCCCCCTTGGCATTTTTCCTATTTTGTTGCCTTACGACCTGGAATTAAAATTGATTTTTTGGGGGGTTTGTATCATTTGATTTACACAACATGCCTACCACTTTGAAGATGCAAAATATTTTTTGCTTGTGAAACAAACAAGAAATAACACCAAAAAACAGAAAACTTGAGCGTGCATAACTATTCACCCCCCCCCAAAGTCAATACTTTGTAGAGCCACCTTTTGTTACAGCTGCAAGTCTCCTGGGGTATGTCTCTATAAGCTTGGCACATCTAGCCACTGGAATTTTTGCCCAATCCTTCAAGTTGGATGGGTTCCGCTGGTGTACAGCAATCTTTAAGTCATACCACAGATTCTCAATTGGATTGAGGTCTGGGCTTTGACTAGGCCATTCCAAGACATTTAAATGTTTACCCTTAAACCACTTGAGTGTTGCTTTAGCAGTATGCTTAGGGTCATTGTCCTGCTGGAAGGTGAACCTCCATCCCAGTCTCAAATCTCTGGAAGACTGAAACAGGTTTCCCTCAAGAATTTCCATGTATTTAGCGCCATCCATCATTCCTTCAATTCTGACCAGTTTCCCAGTCCCTGCTGATGAAAAACATCCCCACAGCATGATGCTGCCATCACCATGCTTCACTGGATGGCTGGTGTTCTCAGGGTGATGAGAAGTGTTGGGTTTGCGCCAGACATAGCGTTTTCCTTGATGGCCAAAAAGCTCAATTTTAGTCTCATATGACCAGAGTACCTTCTTCCATATGTTTGGGGAGTCTCCCACATGGCTTTTGGCGAACACATTTACATTTACATAATTTAGCAGACGCTCTTATCCAGAGCGACTTACAAATTGGTGCATTCAACTTATGATAGCCAGTGGGACAACCACCTTTTGTTTTTCTTTTTAGGGGGGGGTAGAAGGATTACTTTATACTATTCCATTTCTGTGTAAGGTAGGGTCGTACTCTGCGAATGTTGTAGAGCATGAACCTGCAGGATCGGGTCACCGCTTTGATGTTAGCAGAGAACGACATTGTGTTGTCCAGGGTCACGCCAAGGTTCTTTGCACTCTGGGAGGAGGACACAATGGAGTTGTCAACCGTGATGGCGAGATCATGGAGCGGGCAGTCCTTCCCCGGGAGGAAGAGTAGCTCCATCTTGCCGAGGTTCAGCTTGAGGTGGTGATCCGACATCCACACTGATATGTCTGCCAGACATGCAGAGATGCGATTCGCCACCTGGTTATCAGAAGGGGGAAAGGAGAGAATTAATTGTGTGTCGTCTGCATAGCAATGATAGGAGAGACCATGTGAGGATATGACAGAGCCAAGTGACTTGGTGTATAGAGAGAATAGGAGAGGACACCAGTGATGAGAGCACGTGGTGCGGAGACAGATTCTCGCCACGCCACCTGGTAGGAGCGACCTGTCAGGTAGGACGCAATCCAAGAGTGAGCAGCGCTGGAGATGCCCAACTCGGAGAGGGTGGAGAGGATGATCTGATGGTTCACAGTATCAAAGGCAGCGGATAGGTCTAGAAGGATAAGAGCAGAGGAGAGAGAGTTAGCTTTAGCAGTGCGGAGAGCCTCCGTGACACAGAGAAGAGCAGTCTCAGTTGAATGACTAGTCTTTAAACATGACTGGTTTGGATCAAGAAGGTCATTCTGAGAGAGATAGCAGGAGAGTTGGCTAAATACAGCACGCTCAAGAGTTTTGGAGAGAAAAGAAAGAAGGGATACTGGTCTGTAGTTGTTGACATCGGAGGGATCGAGTGTAGGTTTTTTGAGGGGGGTGCAACTCTCGCTCTCTTGAAGACGGAAGGGACATGGCCAGCAGTCAAGGATGAGTTGATGAGCAAGGTGAGGTAAGGGAGAAGGTCTCCGGAAATGGTCTGGAGAAGAGAGGAGGGGATAGGGTCAAGCGGGCCGGCCGGCCGTCACAAGTCGCAATATTTCATCTGGAGAGAGAGGGGAGAAAGAAGTCAAAGCATAGGGTAGGGCAGTGTGAGCAGGACCAGCAGTGTCATTTGACTTAATAAATGAGGATCGGATGTCGTCAACCTTCTTTTCAAAATGGTTGACGAAGTCATCCACAGAGAGGGAGGAGGGAGGGGGAGGAGGAGGAGGATTCAGCAGGGAGGAGAAGGTGGCAAAGAGCTTCCTAGGGTTAGAGGCAGAGGCTTGACATTTAGAGTGGTAGAAAGTGGCTTTAGCAGCGTAAACAGAGGAAGAGAATGTAGAGAGGAGGGAGTGAAAAGATGACAGGTCCGCAGGGAGTCTAGTTTTCCTCCATTTCCGCTCGGCTGCCCGGAGCCCTCTTCTGTGAGCTCGCAATGAGTCGTCAAGCCACGGAGCAGGAGGGGAGGACCGAGCCGGCTGGGACGATAGGGGACATAGAGAGTCAAAATATGCAGAAAGGGAGGAGAGGAGGGTTGAGGAGGCAGAATCAGGAGACCAGAGGGAGAAGGATTTAGCAGAGGGAAGAGATGATAGGATGGAAGAGGAGAGAGCAGCGGGAGAGAGAGAGCGAAGGTTGCGACGGCACATTACCATCTGAGTAGGGACAGAGTGAGTAGTGTTGGAGGAGAGCGAGAGAGAAAAGGATACAAAGTAGTGGTCGGAGACTTGGAGGGGAGTTGCAGTGAGATTAGTAGAAGAACAGCATCTAGTAAAGATGAGGTCAAGCGTATTGCCTGCCTTTTGAGTAGGGGGGGACGGTGAGAGGGTGAGGTCAAAAGAGGAAAGGAGTGGAAAGAAGGAGGCAGAGAGAAATGAGTCAAAGGCAGACGTAGGGAGGTTAAAGTCACCCAGAGCTGTGAGGGGTGAGCCATCCTCAGGAAAGGAACTTATTAAGGCTTCAAGCTCATTGATGAACTCTCCAAGGGAACCTGGAGGGCGATAAATGACAAGGATGTTAAGCTTGAATGGGCTAGTGACTGTGACAGCATCGAATTCAAATGAGGAGATAGACAGATGGGTCAGGGGAAAAAGAGAGAATGTCCACTTGGGAGAGATGAGGATTCCTGTGCCACCGCCGCGCTGACCAGATCCTCTCGGGGTATGCGAGAACACATGGTTAGACGAGGAAAGAGCAGCAGGAGTAGCAGTGTTTTCTGTGGTAATCCATGTTTCCGTCAGCGCCAAGAAGTCGAGGGACTGGAGGGTAGCATAGGCTGAGATTAACCTTGTTGGCCGCAGAACGGCAGTTCCAGAGGCTGCCAGAGACCTGGAACTCCATGTGGGTCGTGCGCGCAGGGACCACCAGATTAGAGTGGCAACAGCCACGTGGTGTGAAGCGTTTGTATGGCCTGTGCAGAGAGGAGAGAACAGGGATAGACAGACACATAGTTGACAGGCTACAGAAAAAGAAGACCAAACGTGTTTGCTTATTTTTTTCTTTAAGCAATGGCTTTTTTTCTGGCCACTCTTCCGTAAAGCCCAACTCTGTGGAGTGTACGGCTTAAAGTGGTCCTATGGACAGATACTCCAATCTCCGCTGTGGAGCTTTGCAGCTCCTTCATGGTTATCTTTGTTCTCTTTGTTGCCTCTCTGATTAATGCCCTCCTTGCCTGGTCCGTGAGTTTTGGTGGGCGGCCCTCTCTTGGCAGGTTTGTTGTGGTGCCATATTCTTTCCATTTTTTTATAATGGAGTTAATGGTGGTCCGTGGGATGTTCAAAGTTTCTGATATTTTTTTATAACCCAACCCTGATCTGTACTTCTTCACAACTTTGTCCCTGACCTGTTTGGAGAGCTCCTTGGTCTTCATGGTTCTGCTTGCTTGGTGGTGCCCCTTGCTTAGTGGTGTTGCAGACTCTGGGGCCTTTCAGAACAGGTGTATATATACTGAGATCATGTGACAGATCATGTGACACTTAGATTGCTCACAGGTGGACTTTATTTAACTAATTATGTGACTTCTGAAGGTAATTGGTTGCACCAGATCTTATTTAGGGGCTTCATAGCAGAGTGGGTGAATACATATGCAGGCACCACTTTTCCGTTATTTATTTTTTAGAATTTCTTGAAACAAGTTATTTTTTCATTTCACTTCACCAATTTTGACTATTTGGTGTATGTCCATTACATGAAATCCAAATAAAAATAAATTTCAATTACAGGTTGTAATGCAACAAAATAGGAAAAACGCCAAGGGGGATGAATACTTTTGCAAGGCACTGTACTTGTGGTGCTGTGTATGGGTGAAACTTGTACTGACAACAGTAGTGAAATCACCATATTCTTCTGGGGTAAAACACAAGTGTGATGCCATGTTTGTAAAGATCTATGTGTATTTGCCATCAAACTAAAAGCATTATTTTATAACAAAACATTTTGCTTAGGATTTATTTTTGTTGGGATTCATTAACCTTCCCACTGAGCTCCTGACTGACATCCCTTCACTTTTGGTGCTGTGCCAGTTTCAAAAGAATGCAAAGTATGTCTTCATTTTTTCCCTTCTGTTTTCTCAGTTAGTCCAAGTAGCAGCCAGGAAGAAGCTGGCCAAGACAGAGCATCAGAATCAGGCTTCTTTAGCCATCAAGATATTGATCTCGAAATCGTAGAAAGTTTAAATAACAATATGAATTTGTACTTATATTTTAGACCAAGAGCTGCCATCCCTACTTGATGAGCCCGTGGCTTCTGAGATGCCTGCTGGATACATAAAAAGGTATATTATGCTAGCCTATATGTTGCAAAATGTTGCTTCTCTTGTATTATCAACGTAAATTCCAAATTGTATGGCTGTCAGCAGCTACAGTATATGGTTATCAATACTACTAATATATGTGAAGGGTGGATATTTTGATCGAGGTATTTCACATGGCCTTCATACATGTCCTGCCAGGTACTCATGGCTGGTATCGTCACGCTGCTTGCAGCTAAACTGTTTAGTCTTTATTATTTTGCAGATCTTCAAGCAGTGGAGATGAGGATAATGGTGAAACTGGAGATGATCCGTACAGAGTTCAGGACTGCTCTGAACCAAGTTATGGAGGCCATAGAGGCCCGGCAGCCAAAGGAGTCAGAGTCCTTGGGCAACTTGAAATGCTGCAAAACCCTGCAGAAACAAATGAGGAACTGAAGGATATCTGTGAAACACTTAAAGACTTCCACTATCGAAAGAAAATGGTAGGGTTGGCCATTTAAAGTGTATCTGTTTGTAAAAAAAAATGGAAATCTGTATCACGTATTTGAACAGCAATTGACAAAAATAAGTTAGCTGTTTATCAAGAGCCCCTTGAATGCGACCAGATTTGAGAGAAGATTGCAACCTGCAATATTATTGAATCCAAATATCTTAATGTCAATGAAATGCAGTTGTCATATATGCTATATGTCTATTTAGTGTTTGGATTGATTTCCCAATTAACACTTAACTTATCTTAAGAAGAAACGATCAGCCCTATGCCTGTTTACATGAGTTTTAGCCAATGATTACATGATACACTTCAAAAATGATTTCTCATTACTATCAATCAGAACTGTATGGCCAGCTGTTTTAGCTGAGGAACACACAAATAAGTGAGAATAAATAAATAAATAAAAATAATCAAATCTGCTACCTGACCCTCTGCTGTGGCCAGGACCTGGGCTCAGGAATCAGACGAATTATGAGATAAATTGTAACAGAGGACAGGTTACTCCTTGAAGGGCAGGAGGGGGAAGAGGGCCTTTAATGAGCTATCAATCTATGATGCTGTCACAAGTAAGTAAATGCACAAGTTTAGAACGTTATTTATTATTATTTAGTAGATAGTATTATTGGTCAATGGATGGTAAGTCAAATGTGTATTTATTAAAATTTTTAATGAATTAAATCAGTAACAAGACAGTTACAAACTAAATGTGAAATCTTACCACCTGTTAAGATCGGCGAGAGAGGACAAAGGAAAGGTGAAGGAGAGAGGTCTCATGGCCGAAACTGCCTATGAGGGAAGAGAGGGACAATACCCAACCTCTGTCTCTGCCAGCATAGGTGGAAAAGAACTGATATGACATGGAATGTACCATTTCACACCCCAAGGCTACCTACCAAGAGGTAGATGACAAAATAACAGACGCTCTCAAACATGCACCAGCTCGGCTCAAGAGTAAGAGAAAGGTATGATTCAAAATAACACGTTATTATTATTAATTTTTTTACTTCACTTTAATCCAGTCGATCATTATTGTACCAGTACAAAAAGAATGTAGTAGGGAGTCGATGTTAAACTGGCATTTTGATCATTTCTTTACTGAAAGTAATGACCAATTTGTGTTATTGTGACTTCCAGGAACGCGTTGAGGAAGTGACAGTGGATGAGGATGGAGCAGCAGCACCTGAATAAACATAACATACAGTGGGGGAAAAAATTATTTAGTCAGCCACCAATTGTGCAAGTTCTCCCACTTAAAAAGATGAGAGAGGCCTGTAATTTTCATCATAGGTACACGTCAACTATGACAGACAAATTGAGAAGAAAAAAAATCCAGAAAATCACATTGTAGGATTTTTAATGAATTTATTTGCAAATTATGGTGGAAAATAAGTATTTGGTCACCTACAAGCAAGCAAGATTTCTGGCTCTCACAGACCTGTAACTTCTTCTTTAAGAGGCTCCTCTGTCCTCCACTCATTACCTGTATTAATGGCACCTGTTTGAACTTGTTATCAGTATAAAAGACACCTGTCTACAACCTCAAACAAGTCACACTCCAAACTCCACTATGGCCAAGACCAAAGAGCTGTCAAAGGACACCAGAAACAAAATTGTAGACCTGCACCAGGCTGGGAAGACTGAATCTGCAATAGGTAAGCAGCTTGGTTTGAAGAAATCAACTGTGGGAGCAATTATTAGGAAATGGAAGACATACAAGACCACTGATAATCTCCCTCGATCTGGGGCTCCACGCAAGATCTCACCCCGTGGGGTCAAAATGATCACAAGAACGGTGAGCAAAAATCCCAGAACCACACGGGGGGACCTAGTGAATGACCTGCAGAGAGCTGGGACCAAAGTAACAAAGCCTACCATCAGTAACACACTACGCCGCCAGGGACTCAAATCCTGCAGTGCCAGACGTGTCCCCCTGCTTAAGCCAGTACATGTCCAGGCCCGTCTGAAGTTTGCTAGAGTGCATTTGGATGATCCAGAAGAGGATTGGGAGAATGTCATATGGTCAGATGAAACCAAAATATAACTTTTTGGTAAAAACTCAACTCGTCGTGTTTGGAGGACAAAGAATGCTGAGTTGCATCCAAAGAACACCATACCTACTGTGAAGCATGGGGGTGGAAACATCATGCTTTGGGGCTGTTTTTCTGCAAAGGGACCAGGACGACTGATCCGTGTAAAGGAAAGAATGAATGGGGCCATGTATCGTGAGATTTTGAGTGAAAACCTCCTTCCATCAGCAAGGGCATTGAAGATGAAACGTGGCTGGGTCTTTCAGCATGACAATGATCCCAAACACACCGCCCGGGCAACGAAGGAGTGGCTTCGTAAGAAGCATTTCAAGGTCCTGGAGTGGCCTAGCCAGTCTCCAGATCTCAACCCCATAGAACATCTTTGGAGGGAGTTGAAAGTCTGTGTTGCCCAGCGACAGCCCCAAAACACCACTGCTCTAGAGGAGATCTGCATGGAGGAATGGGCCAAAATACCAGCAACAGTGTGTGAAAACCTTGTGAAGACTTACAGAAAACGTTTGACCTGTGTCATTGCCAACAAAGGGTATATAACAAAGTATTGAGAAACTTTTGTTATTGACCAAATACTTATTTTCCACCATCATTTGCAAATAAATTCATAAAAAATCCTACAATGTGAATTTCTGGATTTTTTTTTCTCATTTCTGTCATAGTTGACGTGTACCTATGATGAAAATTACAGGCCTCTCTCATCTTATTAAGTGGGAGAACTTGCACAATTGGTGGCTGACTAAATACTTTTTTCCCCCACTGTAATTATTAACATTTAGCTTTAAGCAGTTTTACAGTTCTTGATTGGAGTGCAGTGTTCATGTTTTTACTGACTTGTTATTTTGTGAGCTTATTGCTGTGATTTTGTTTCCGAATCTATTGTGATACAGTTTAAGTAAAATAAAAAATATGATAACTTCTTATTGTCATGACTTCCGCCGAGGCTGTCCCCCCTCCTGGTTCGGGCAGGCTTCGGCGTTCGTCGTCACCGGAGTACTAGCTACTGCCGATCCCATTCTCATCACTCCACTTGTCATGTCTTGTCAATCACACACACCTGGTGCTCATCCCCCTACTGGAGTTGTATTTCTCCAGCATCAGGCCGGAGCCCCGGGAACGGGAGAAGGTATCCGTCCTCGTTTCCTGCCTTTGGAGTGAGCCAACGTGGTGTGGAACGAGGGAGGTACCGCGTTGGAGAACTACGGGGAGTTTGCTCGCCTCTTTCGGGCCGTTTTTGATCAATCTGCTAGCAGCCAGAGGACGTCCTGGTAGGGGTCTGCTCGTTCCCACTCCGGACGACTCTGACCCCGAGCAGATGGAGCTGGGGGGAGCCGCCAGTCGAGAGAGCGCAGGAGGACAGCGAAAGTGCCACAATCAACCTCAAGTCGCAGTCAAAATTATTTTGGGTCTGGAGGCGGTAGGCAGGGTACTCACGCATCACCCCAGGTAACGAACACTCAAACGTCTTCAGAGCCCTTTGCGGCGCACTGTACTTTATCTATCTCCTTTCCCGATCACTTGGTAGGTTCCCAGTGTAAGGCGCTAGTCGATTCAGGCGCAGCTGGGAATTTTATGGACAGGGCATTTGCACACCGTCAAGGCATTTCATTGGTTCCCCTAACCATTCCACTCCCCATCAGAGCACTTGATAGTCGACCATTAGGGTCCGGGTTGGTTAAGGAAGTTACGGTACCAGTCACCATGATTACGCAGGAGACACATGTTGAGCAGATCACCTTTATGATTATTGAGTCTCCTGCTTACCCTGTAGTCTTGGGATATCCCGTGGTTAGCCCACGATGGACGCAGATATAGCGCAGGCATTACACACAGATCCATCTCCACCGCAGTGTCCAGCTGGGCTGCAGTACGTGCCTGCGCTTATCCGTGATCGTCTGAACTACTGGGCACACACGTCACCCTCCTCTGGTCATCCAGGTATCGGTCGTACAATGCGCTGCCTGACCGAGAAGTACTGGTGGCCTACCTTGGCTAAGGACGTGAGGGTGTATGTTTCCTCATGCTCAGTGTGCGCCCAGAGTAAGGCACCTAGGCACCTCCCAGCGGGTAAGCTACAACCTTTACCAGTTCCACAACGACCATGGTCTCACCTGAGTATTGATTTTCTCACTGATCTTCCCCCCTCCCAAGGTAACACCACTATCCTGGTAGTTGTGGACCGTTTTTCAAAGTCCTGCCGCCTCCTTCCTCTGCCCGGTCTCCCCACGGCCCTACAAACTGCGGCGGCTCTGTTTACTCACGTCTTCTGGTACTACGGGGTACCAGAGGATTTAGTGTCCGACTGAGGTCCCCAGTTCACGTCTAGAGTCTGGAAGGCGTTCATGGAACGTCTGGGGGTCTCGGTCAGCCTGACCTCTGGTTTTCACCCCGAGAGCAATGGGCAGGTGGAAAGGGTGAATCAAGATGTGGGTAGGTTCCTGCGGACCTACTGTCAGGACCGGCTGGGGGAGTGGTCGTTGTTCCTGCCATGGGCAGAATATGCTCAGAACTCTCTCCGAAACTCCTCCACTAACCTAACATCCTTCCAATGTGTTTTGGGTTACCAACCGGTCCTGGCACCGTGGCACCAGAGCCAGACCGAGGCTCCCGCAGTGGATGAATGGTTTTGGTGCGCGGAGGAGACATGGGACGCTGCCCACGTTCGCCTCCAGCGTGCCGTGCGTCGTCAGAAGGCCAACGCTGACCGTCACCACAGGGAGGCCCCGGTGTTCGTACCGGGGGATCGGGTCTGGCTCTCAACCTGGAATCTGCCCCTCCGCCTGCCCTGCCGGAAGCTGAGCCCTGCGGTTTGTGGGGCCGTTTAAAGTCCTGAGGAGAATAATTGAGGTAACATACAGGTTGTTACTCCCCCCTGATTACCGTATTAACCCCTCGTTTCATGT